CCTAGAGGTGTTGTGAGATTACGTCTGTGATGATATCCAGGTTCTTGGTGTTTCAGATAAAAAATTGAATGAAACACGCAAAGTGTAAAGAAAAGGTAGTTTATTAAGTAAAGTATGAGGACCAGCAAATGGCATAATGGTTAGTTGCTGGACTCCCACATGTTTGACTGTGGTTCAAGTCCTGAACCCAGCAGCTTCAAACTCATATGAGGTATGTGTTTGCGTATCCCCAAAATCCTGAGAGGAGAATGGAGAAGAAGGGATTGCAGCATGGCCATCCCTCCTGGGAGTGGGAGGAGGTAGTGATTTCTTGCTCCTTGCTTTCTGTCTCTCCAGCGAGCCCATATGCCCTATAGCCAAAAATCTTTCAAAAAAAAAATATAAAAGTACATTCTTGAGAGGTAGGCGCAGACCTGAGCAGACAGAAAGACTGGCTCAAAAAGTCTCAGCAATTGCATTCTGTGATATTTATCATTTTTAACCTAGGTCATGGGATTGATCATTGGCTGGGCCCACTGATTGTTCTCATTTCATTGGCATTATTAATGATGTTGCATTTGCTATTTCAAATATGACTTCAAATATGATTCTTCTCATAGGCTTTACCAAATCTGATTTAATCAGCTAGCCATCCCCTAGTAATCTCCTTCTTACATTACCTTGGGCAGGGAATTTTCTGCCTTGGGTTTTTCTACCTAGCCACATCGGCAGATAGATGCTCCTGCCCCCTTACCAGCAATTCCAATGCTAGCTTTCTCCTGGCTCAGGAGAACTGTCTTATAGTTGGTACTCATTGTCATGCTGTTTCTCTGGCAATAGTTAAAACTCTGATGATTACCATCATTAGGGCTTATTAAATATGAATTATATCCATATCATAAGCTGTGTGAATCTGGGTCAGATCTGTGCAGTTGCACTTTCTCGTTCAATCCAGAGGTAGAAGCCATTTGGTAGTTACAGTTGGCTATCTTGAAAACCATCCATGACCCATGGGCAAACGTCTACCAATTTCTTTAGTTTGTTGGGGCTGCATCCTCCTACTGTGTTGTGAAGTAAATATCTTAATATTTCCCTCTAAGACATAAAGCCATTTTAGAATTGTAACTTTCTTAATCTAAAAATATTTTATTTATTTATATTTTATCTAGTAATCTGTTTAAATCCATAAAATTCTTAAACTTATTTTTTAATTTGCCAGAGGGTGTGTGTACTCACTAGAGAGAGGGAAGGAGAGAGAGAGGAAATGAGAAAGGACCTCCCTGAGGAAATGGTCATGCAGCAATGTCTTCCATTTCTCCCTCCTTTCAGGAAATTGGGCATACTCTCGCATGTCTCCAAACACTCTGGATCAGGGACTCACACTGCAGTCAGCCATGTGGGATCCAGCTGCCTTAGTCATTGCCATAGGCTGGCCCTAAAATTTATTTTTTGTTCCACATGTATAAAGGTTTGATTGTTCTTAGTGTGTCCTATAAAAATGGGAGAAGACTTAATAGTCTGAATTTTATCAATAATACATCTTTACATCTATTTTCTCACTCAGTCTTTTCTTTATCTTCCAATACTAAAGTTTTTCTGTAGAGAAATTGTTTCCATTTCCATTCCACTTGCCATTTTATTTACTTTTTCGCTGCATTTTCATTATATATACACTTTTTATCTTTTGGTTTTGCACTGTTTACTTTTCTGTTTTGGTAGAGATAGAGAATCTTGTTTTGGGAGACCACCAGTTGGCGTAATGGCTATGTCACTGGACTCCCATGTAGTCAACTTCAGTTCAAGTCCCGGACCCAGTGGCTTAAACTCACGCCAGGCGCATGTGCATGCGTGCCCAAGATCCTGAGAGGAGAATGGAGAAGGGATTGTGGTGTGACCATCCCCTGGGGCATTATTTCTCGCTTTCTGTCTCTGTCTCTCTCTGTCTTTCTGGTGAGCGCACGTGCCCTATAGCAAAAACATCTCCCAAAAAAAAAAAAAAAGAGAGAGAGAGAGACCCTTATTTTGGTTCCTTTCCACTTGTACAATTTCTGACATTTACTAGTCCCTCTTGTACCTCATTTCTGCTAATAGATAAAACCGTTGTCACTTAAATATACTATAGATAATTTTACTTGTAAATTCAGCTTAGAGATTCTTAAATTGAGGTCTCTGATTCAGCAATAACCTATGGTTATTGGTGATACCTATGTAATAGCTTTGAAAAATGAACAGAATATGATACTAAATTATAAGACTAGATTGTAGTACACTAGTATAAAAAAACTGATCTAAAAGGATATTCTTATTATCTAGTGTAGGTTAGATTTCACTGGGTAGAGTACACACTGAAGACTAGAGAAGATAGATATCTAGCCAGATTTCTTCTGGTCTTTTATAAATGAGTTTACTGTATGTATTTTATTGTATTTACTGTTGGGTTTGTCCTGTTTCTGCCACTGTCTTCTAGTTGTGTGGATTACATCACAGATAAATGTAACACTGAGCAACTGTCAGGGAGCTACAGGGAATAAGTGAGATTGTATTTCCTATTCTGAGTGGATAACCGACATACGTATTACCCACTGTGTGTCCTGTACTGCCCTAAGCACTTTATATATAGTAACTCATGTAATCCTTTCAACAACCCACGTGGCAGGCTACATTATTCACATGAGAAAATGGGAAAAGGGACTTAACTTTTCCCCAGCGCTGCCTAAGCTAGTAGGTAACAAGGGCTGGTATCAAACCCAGGTAGTCTACTTCCTGATTCTGCTCTTACTCAGTACATGTCACCTTCTCTTATAAAAGTTTGCTAAATGCAGAACGTAGGCACGAAATGGGGAAATACAAGCAGAAACAAAATCTAAAAACTTTTGGAGAGGGAAGAAAGTTTTTCTACAAAAAGTGATTAGCATACCGAAACTAGCCATGTTATTTCAACTGAACCTAATAGAGTAACATTAAATCCTTAAAGGAAAATAAGTTAGTATGAAACTCACTGATTACTTTAGCATATAAGTGTGAAAGTGAGAGGGAACCAACAGTTAGTGTAATGGCTATGTCGCTGGACTCCCACGTAGTCGACTGCGGTTCACGTCCCGGACCCGGTGGCTTAAAACTCCCGCCGGGCGCGTGTGTGTGCGTGCCCAAGATCCTGAGGGGAGAATGGCGGAGAAGGGATTGCTCCGTGACCAGCCCCCCTGGGGGGTGATTTCTCGCTTTCTGTCTCTATGTCTCTCTTTGTCTGTCTGGTGAGTGCACGTGCCCTATAGCGAAAACCTCTCCAAAAAAAAAAAAAAGGGAAAGGGAGGGACTAGCAGATGGCATAGTGGTTATTTTGCTAGACTCCACTTGAAGTCCTTGACCCTGTGGTTTCAAAATCACATGGTGTTTGTGTGTGTGTGGGGGGCCAAGATCCTAGGAGGAAAACAGATAGGGAGGGATTGCAGTGTGGCCATCCCTCCAGAGGGTGATTTCTTACTTTCCCTCTCACTGTCTCTCCCCTAACCCCAGCAAGTGCATGAGTGCACATGCCCTAAGGTAAAAATCCTCTTAAAAAAAAAAAGAGTAAACATGAAACAAAAGCATTTTCAGATTTGCAGATTCTGAGTTTACCCTCTTAGATCATCTCTGGAAGAACTAGTAAAAATGTATGTCAGCAAAGAAATGCTATTACATTTTTGTGGCTCTTGGTTAAAAACTAAACATGCAGATGCTGGACAGTGGCACAGCAATAAAATGTGTTGCTTTGAGAAGCCAAACCACTTGGGAAGGTTCTCGGTTTGCATCAGATCTCCTTGCATATGCCAGGCTGCTGTGTGCCACGATCCAGGGCTGACTGAAGCTGGAAGTGGATCAGAATGCTGAGACCTCAAATGGGAAGACTGTTGCTCACTCCCTCGCTGTCTCTCTAACCATCTGTCCATCTCTATCTCTGTTCATGTGTCTCTGTCCCTCTTACTCATAGAAGAAACAAACTTGAAAACACACACACATAAACTATACTATTAAGACATCTTTTATGGGGCCAGCACATGGTGTGGTTAAGCTGTTATACTCCCATATGGCTGATTGCAGTTTGAGTCCCGGACTTGGTGGTGTGAAAATCACATTGGGTGCGTTTGTATGTGTGTCCAAAATCCCAGGACGAGAATGGAGAGGGGATTGTAGCATGGCCATCTCCCTTGGCAGTTGATTTCTCATTTTCTCTCTCACTGTCTCAATTTCTCTTTCTCTCTCTCTCTGGTGAGCACATTCATCCTATGGCAAAAACCTTAAAAAATGTGTGTGTGTATATATTATATATATAAAATGTGACATATTTAGTAATCTCTTTCATTTTCTTCACACTCATAGATTATATTCTCTAAAGGTATTTACTAGAAGCAGGATCCTACCAAAATTAATATACTTTTTAGGCGCCAGTAGAAGGTATAGTGGTTATGTCGTTGGAGTTCCATATGACTGACTACAATTCAAGTCCTGGACCTCATGGCTTAAAAATCATGTCGGGTGCATGTGTGTGCATGCCCAAGATCCCAGGAGGAGAATGGAGGAGAAGGGATTGTGGCATAGCCATGCCCCCTGGGGGGGGAGTGATTTTTTTTTTTTTTTAACTTTCCCTCTCTGTCTCTATCACTCTCTCCAGTGAGCACATGCACCCTAAGGCAAAAACCTCTAAAAAAAATTTAATATACTTATTTGAACAATACTTTTTATAAAAACAAGTATTAGTGAAAGAAAGCAGTAGTAGAGGACACTACTACGGATGATGACGACGGTAGTAAGCTCAATAGTATTAAAGACTTGTATGTTATTTATATTGCTAAAGAATAAACATACTTACAACAACTTTATGAAATTAGATTACTAAATGATTCAGAATTTATGAATCTTAAATAAGGAGTCTCTTATGGTTTTTATATCCTCGTAATTGATTAGAAAACCCAAGCACTTTATATAACAACTGCATTTTCATGTCATTATTTAAATTCTAACAATATTTATTGTTTCTTTTTCAGCGTCTGGCTTTGGAGGCAGAGAAAGTACAAGCAGCCCACCAGTGGAGGGAAGACTTTGCAGTAAGCACCCTTTTTACCTATTTGATTTAAATGGATTTACTTTCATTTCAGATAATTACAACCATATTAAATATTTCTAGTAATGATGTCTTATGTGATTAGGGACCAAAAACACTTTGTTGCTTAAAAATATAGTTGCTCTTGTGTACCCAGAGCCAATTAAGTTAGTCATAATACTCATTTTCCATAACAAATAAATGAATAAATAAAAAGTCCCTTGAAATGTTCTCCTCTCCTACTTAGAAAGCCTTATAAAATACATTTAAAAGTCATTAAATTATAATATCTGAATAATATTTGCAGATATTTTGAATATGATAATTGAAAAACAAGTGCACCTAACTATTTTTAGTTTATAAAAAAGAGTTTGTATAATGTGATCACCTCAATGGTGGGCAATGGGATTAAAGTGAAAATGAACGTATTCAATCTTCCGACATTTGATATGCTTCAACTTTAGCTAGAAGTAATCATTCTTGTACTTTGGCCCACTTTTTAGAAATGCTGGGTGACATTAGCTTTTTCATTTAAAAAAAAAAATTTTGTTCCCTAAGTGTCACTGGTTTAAAATAAACAGTAGAAATTGCCTTTGTGATGAAATTTGTTTGTCATCTACCTAACTACCCCCTTCCAGCTGAGGGGTGTGGTAAAGAAGTGTGTCCTTAATAGCTAAAATAATTCTGTATATATTTGAATTATCCTATTTCTAGTGGAAATATCTTTAGTTTCTAGTCACAGAAAAGTTCCAGACAACTCATTTTGGCCATGTACCCTCCTCTCTCCCCTACTGAACATAGGATTATAATGTGAGCGGCCATTTGGTTTCCTTGTGCAATGTTTTGTGAAACAAATGTCTCAGATATAAAGTATAAAAAACTTGGGCTTGAATAGAACACTGAACTTAGGTTTAGGAATTTGTCCTTTTGGTTGTGTTTGTATGATTATGTTATGTTTCAAAGGCTATATGCTAAGGGATATTTTACTCACTACGATAAGAGGTTTTCATGCTTGACACTTTTGATTTTATTTATTTTTATGATCTTTTCCACTCATTTATGTTTCCTTTATAGCCTACCAAAAGAACTGAATTTGACTACTATCAGTTTGTTTGATTCTTTCATTAAATTCTTGCCCGAGTTTTTGGGGTTATGTAGATACCGGTTTTGTCTAAAATTATTTGTTATAGATAGATTATCTATTGTAGATAGATTAATGATCAATTTATCATGTATATAATGTATCTATCTACCTCTATATTTGTAGATATATCTATATATACATCATATATAGATCAGTGTTTAAGTTCAAAACATAGGCTCTTTGAGTAGTGTAGATTAATTATAAGCACATTCAAAGTAAAGTAAATTAATTTTCCCCCTAAAATGGACAAGACACAGTGAAAATAATATTAAGTAAAAATTACCCTTCTCCTTTAAACTTTAACTTAGTGGTGGCCCAGTAAAAGCAATATGTAGTCATAATAAATGTAAAGCTGAAAGATGTATTCTGATTAGCATTGGTACAGTACAGTTATTGTTGTCTTAGTTTTAATAGTAATCCAGAGAACTCAAAAGATCAGTAAGATCACATAAAATCATAGGTATAGAGGTTATGGTAACTTTATCCCACAGAGCCAAGTGTGCAGTTCAAGTCCTGGACCCAGTGGCTACAAAAATCACACCAAGTTAAGGTCAGTAGGTAGTGTGGTGGTTAAGGAGCTAGACTTTCACATGGCTGACTGCAGGTTGAGCCTTGAACCCAGCAGGTTGAAAATCATGCTGGGCACATATGTGTGAATGGAGAAGGGATTGTGGAGTGACCTTTCCCCTGGGGGTTGATTTCTCACTGTCCCTCTCTTTATCTCTTTCTGTCTCTCTCCAGAGAGCACACAGGCCTTATGGCAAAATTCTTAAAAAAAAAAAAAAAAAAAAAAAAAGTCACACCAGGCACTTGTGCATGTGGCCCAGACCCCAGAAGGGGAATGGAGAAGAAAGAGAAGGGATGGCAGCATGGCCATACCCCTTGAAGGTGATTTCTCACTTTCCCTCTCACTGTCTCTCGCTGGTGAGCACATGCGCCCTATGATAAAAACCTTAAAACAAACAAAGAAACAAATAAAACATTAAATTACTGTTAATATTTTGGCAAAGATTTTTTTTTCTTCCTTATAGAAGTTATGAGTGATTGTGACTTAAAACGCAAAAACAGTCAATGCATGTTAGGTAGTTCCATATTTTATTGAATCCAAACCATCACCCATTCTAAGGCACTCTGTCATTTTGTTTCATTTATTTCTAAAAAGAATAAAGCCAAGTAAGTTATGATCCCCCAAAGTTTTTAAGCTGCATTCTTACTTGCATTTGTAAGACTTGAAAGTATGAAGTAATTTACCTCAGAATGCGGCCCCTTAGATCTACGCTCTTGGCGCCTATATTCAGGGAGCAGGACTGCCTGCAAAACTCACATGGGGGAAGAAATCAGCTCCACAATGACACAAAAGCCATTAGTAAATCACGTATGTTTAAATAGTAAGTAAATTGCATACCCAGAAAGTGTCAGGAGTTCTTATCAGAGAGTTGTCACCATGTGTGAGAATTTCTTAACGAATTTTGTTTGTACTTTCCCCCTAGATTATCTCACAGTTTGTTTAGGACCTATAAATCTACTGATGGACATCAAAAGACACTGTTACAGGGAAAGCAGGTCAGGCTACTTTAGAGCCCTGTCAACTCATTTCCTGTGTGCCCATCTTGAGGGACTGTGAATGATGCTCACAGGGCACATATCTGTCACGGTTTACACACAGAGAATTGATATTTCCCATATCTTCTTCTCAGCCTCACATAAAATCTTGACTATAGCCCTTCCCTTTGAAAGGCCATGGGGCAACAGAACCAGGAGACTGTGGTGATTTTATGCTTGGAAAATAGAACCTGAATGAAGGTTACCTAATCTTCACATTCAGATAAGTAAAACATACAAAACTATGACTCCCGACCCCTTTTTGTTTTTCCTGACAAACAAGGTGGTGCTTTAGTCCAGAGATATACCAAGGCTAAATAAATCCTTCAAGACTAGAATACAATTGAAATTCGTGGTTGGGAATTAGGCATCAACATTATGTTTCTTCTTACTTTATGAGAGAACACAACACAACTACAGATTTTATCAGTGTTTTAAACAAACAGTTCAAAATGTTTATTTGGAAAGTAAAGGCTACCATCTTCCAGAAGGTCCTCCTTTTAAAACTTCAAAATCCTTTTATCTTTTAAGGTATTAAACTATTTGCATCAGTGCAATAGTTCTTTAATGCCATCCTTTAATAATTTAGCACTAGGATGATTTAGAAGTCAGAAATAATTTCCTAAAAGGTACATTAACATTTCAAAAAGAAATATAATATTCTGCTTCTTCCCTCTAGTATAAGTAGGCAAGTTTCATTAATATTACTTAGGCAAAATGCTGATTAGCATTCCGTACTCTGTAATGTAGGGAAATCTCATGAACAACAAGAACAAAAGCCAAAGCACTAATATTCTGGCAACAACAAAGGGCGCGTGTAATTCACACTCTCCCTGAGCTCCGTTCAGTCCCCAAGTGAGTATCCAATTGAGGGAACAAAGGGAGTACACTCTAAGTGGATTAAGATTTATGCGGTCACGCATTTACAAGTTCAAACCAATATTTGTAAATAAGCTATGTCTACCAGCTGCCTTTCAGGTCTCCATGCAACTCCTGGGTGCTAAAGGTGACATTTCGTGTCACTTATGATGGACAAATTATTTTATTAAGAGCAGGTGGGGGGAGGGGAAAGAAAGAAGCTTAGAAAACTAATTGTTCTGCATGAAATAATTGCTGTTATTCTTACCAAACAGATCCTTTCCAATTGCATTTGAAAGCTCATTTGATTGCATTGCAATGGTTGGTTAACTAAAGCAATTTTGTTTCCAACTAAGCCTGCAATATTAATTGTACTTACACATGTATAAACATAAGGGATGCCTAATTTGTATTTTAATAAGTAGGATCTTTATGTATGGTTTATTAGCACCAGCTTGTTACTGTGCATGCTGAATTCAGCTGTCTAGAAATTGGCTAGTAAATAAAACATTTGAAGAGTCCCTTTTAGCTTCTGCTTCACAGAGAAAGTAAATTAGAGAGTAAAAAAATTTTTTTTCTAATCAAGTGGAATGTTATTGAGTGTCAATCAGGCTAATGTAGTTCTTCAATGTAGCTTTAGTTTTATAAGTCACTTTGTCAAAACACATTTTGAAATGTTGCTTGAAAAATTATAGTATTTTAAATTATATGTTTATGTGAGGGAATTTAATAGGCACTGGCATTATATATTTATTTCGTCGATCTTTATTCAGTTTATGGAATTGCATCATTCCTGTTTACAGAACAAACATAAATATGTGGGATGGGAAAACATACTGTATTTATTTAGGTCATAAGGTATAAAGACAAACATTTATTTTAAATTATAACTTGACGTGAGTCCTGAGAAGGAAAGTTGATTTTTAGAGGAAAAAGAAGGAAAGTGGCATTCAGCCTTAATGAAAAAATGAATGAATTCAGTAGACCACCAGAATGAGCTTAGGCTCTGACTTGAGAAGGTCTTGCTTAGTTTTCTGAATTGAATAACACTTTTGCCATCAAGAGCTTGTGTATTTTCCTGTTTTTGCAGTATTTCTTCTGTGCAAAGTCACAATCAATTTTTTTTGCTACTTTTTTTTTTTAAGAGTCTTGAGAATTTATCCTCATCATCCAGATAGATTAAAAGGAGAGCCAGTGCAAAATTCTTTAGCTCCAAATTTTAGAAAATCAACTGGATGGAAGAGAATTAGGGTAATGTATAGCACCTTACTCGTTTTGTTCATGCACATGTATAAATGCCCTTAGTAAGAGTACTGTAACACACCAGAGTAGAAAATAATAGCCATGAGCTTCAAATCGTTAATTACCCTAGACGATCACCCATATCTTTTGTTTCTTGC